GTGTGGGGGTGTGTGTGTGGTGTGTGTGTATGGTGTGTGTGTGGTGTGTGTGTGGTGTGTCTGTGTGTGTGTGTGGTGTGTGTGTGTGGTGTGTGCGTGTGTGTGTGGAAGTGGGAGGTGGTGGTTGAGGGTATCTTTAAAGATTTGTCATGAAAAGATTTTTGACTTATATAAAAAATTATGCCTACTTGCAAGGGATGCAGATGTGGCCTCGCTAATGATTCTTAAAAGCATGTGCTCAATGATTCACAGAAAATGTTAGAAAAAAAGCTGGTCTTAGAAGATCTCAACAAGCATTTGTGGAGATCAAAACAGATTTTCTTTTGGATTCTCTATACATATTAGATTTGAATTCTTTGGCTTGTCATGGCCTGTATCACATTATTCATATTCTTTGTATCCATGAAAGAATACAGAGAAAAATTTCTGGCAATTAAATTTCAATTTTGTAATTATAGCTTATATTTACAGAGGTCCTACTATCACTGAGTAAAGTATATACAGCATCTTACATAATCCTCACATTTCTGCCCCACCCTTTGCAAAATGAGAAAATTGAAACTGAAATATTAAGATACTTTGCTTAAGGGCATGCATGGAGTATAAATTTGGTATTTGAACTCTGGTTCTCTGACTCCAGACCTCACATCTTAATCACTAAGCCAGTAGTTCTCACACTTCATTGTGCATCAGAATCACCTAAAGGGCTTGTCAAATCACAGATTGCTGGTCCCTACCTCAGGGTAGGTGAGGACCACCCTGGGAGGTCTGGATTGGGTCCTAACTATTTACCTTTCTAACAAGTTTCCAGATGGTGCTGATGCTACTGGTCTGGGAACCATACTTTGAGAACCACTGAAATAAGATAAACTGCTTCTCTTATATGATTTTTTTTTTGCTATAATTAGAATGATCCAATAATCAGTACGATTTGAAAGAAGCCACCAGAACACAAGATTCAGGGAAGAAAAAGGCCAATAAGAAAAGATTACTTTAAAATCCAAATGAAAGGGGGGCTTCCCTGGTGGTGCAGTTGTTAAGAATCCGCCTGCCACTGCTGGGGACACGGGTTTGAGCCCTGATCCAGGAAGATCCCACATGCCGCGGAGCAGCTAATCCTGTGCGCCACAGCTACTGAGCCTGTGCTCTAGAGCCCACATGCCACAACTACTGAAGGCTGCGTGCCTAGAGCCCATGCTCTGCAACAAGAGAAGCCACCAAGATGAGAAGCCTGGGCACCGCAACAAAGAGAAGCCCCCGCTTGTGGCAACTAGTGAAAGCCTGTGCACAGTAACGAAGACCCGACACGGAAAAAAAAAAAAAAAAAAAAAGAATCCAAATGAAAGGAGGTAAATAAATTACAAAGGTGATGACTCTTCATTGCATGAAGAATAAAACCAAGACTCTGCAGCCAATATTCAAAGTCTTTCATAATTTAATCCCAGACTTCTAGACTAAGACTTCTAGACTAGTCTAGCTTCTAGACTAAGCTTCACTCATCTGTGCTTGGTCATCCAGCACCTCTCTGATCTCTCACCTTGGGTGGTGTCTACTAAAGCTGCTTCCTTTGACTGGAAACGCTTTACTCTTCTGTCTGTCAAAGCTCTAATTGAGCGTCAGGACTTAGTCCAAATATTTCCTTTCCTAAAAATGCCATCCAAGTCTTTCTTGATTTCTACTTCTCCCCTCCAACATTCTCCCCTGTATCGTAAGAGTTATTTGAGTTGCTCATATAACAATGGGCCCAGGAAGAGTTGTGTGTTTTTTAACTGCATCATAATAAAGCCTTATTCACATTTGTTTCTCATAGGACCTAGGACTCTGCTGCATCCTGGCAGTTGCTC